GGCAACATGCTCAGAGCTCATAAAGGGCTTGGAATAGTTTTGTTTGCACCAGCCAGAGTGGAAAACCAAATACTGGGTGGAGTTTCTAGAAGGGTATTTCTGCAATATAATAGGCAAAAATTAGCACTAGGCTAGATTCTGCTCTGCTCCCACCTAACAAAGCTCAAAAGCAAGACTCAAAAGGATCTGTTGCCAAGTAACTTAACTGTTCCAGAACAAAGCTCAGGGTGTTTATAAGAATACAAATATATCCAGCACTCAATAAATGTCCTGCAACAAATCAGCACTTACCAGTCATGTAAAGAGAAAACAACCATAATTAGGAGAGAAATAAGTCCATTTGAAACCAATCCAGGAATGTTGCAAATGACAGAATTAGTAGACAAGGACAATTAAGACAGTTTTTTAAATAACTACATTGCAAATAGTTAAGCAGGTAGAGGAAAGACTGAGCATGTTGAAGATGGAAAATACTTTAAAAAAACAACAATCCAGAGATAGAAAATAAAATGTCTAAGATGGATATACACTGGATAGCATTAACATGTAGATAATATGAACAGAAGAAAGATTAGTAAACGTGAAAACTTAGCCACAAAATATCTGAAATAAAGCACAGAGAGAAAAAAGACTGAAAGAAAAATAAATAGAGCCATAGGGAGTATATGGGGCAACTTCAACTTCCAGTAGCCAAATATACATGTAATTGGAGTCCATGAGGAGAGGATCTGGGACAAGGGAACAGAAGACCTATTTGAGGAAATTATGGCTGAAAATTTTACAAATGTGGTGAAAATTATAAACCCACATATTCTGGCAGTTTAACAAATCCTTAAAAAGCGACATCAAAGCATATCATAATCAAATTGCTTATAACTGGTAATAAAGAGAAAATCTGAAAAACAGCCAGAGGAGAGAACCAAGATGGCAGCATAGGTAAACGCCAGTACTTGCCACCTCCCACAGCCACATCAAAATTACAACTAAAATACAGAATAGCCATCACTGAGAATCGCCTGAAAGCTGGCTGAATGGAAGTCTTACAACTAGAGAAGTAAAGAAGAAAGTACACTGAGACTGGTAGGAGGGGCGGAGGCACGGAACAGGCTGGTCCAACACCCACGTGTGCCGTTTTTATAATAAGGAGGGATATCTTAGCTGCAGAGGCCTCGTATGAGGATCAAGGGGTCCAAGCCCCATACTGGGGTCCCAGCCCCATACCAGACCCCCAGCCCAGGGTTCCAGAGCTGGGAAGAGAAGTCCCCATAACTTCGGGCTTTAAAAACCAGTGGGAATTGTGGCTGAGTGACAATGAGGCTGCTGGAAACCCAGGCAGTTCCTCTTAAAGAGCCTGCACATGAACTTACATAGACTTGCTCCCTCTGAGCTCCAGCACTGGGGCAACAGCTTGGGGAGATCCAAGGACATATGGGGAGGTATTGGATTGTCTGGCATTGGAGCGGCTTTCTCTCAGACAGGGATGCTTGCAGGGGTCATTGTTCCTGTGCGGAGACCTCCGCAGCCTCAGAGCTGACTAGCAGCCATATCTGCGTTTCCATCAACTTGGCTCACTGTGTTCACTCCACCCTGGTGATTCCCTGAGCTCAGCCCCATCCAATTTGAAGCCCCACCCAAACTGTTTGCAGTGGCTTTTTCATATGAATGCCCTGTCCTGGGTCAGGCTTTAGACTTTGCTAAAATCTCTCAAATAAGCAGTGGCTGGTGTCAGTGTGACCCATACCTAGCAATAAGAGGTCCAAAACAGCTTGGCCTCCCCTGGGCTCTGCTAAGCCCACCACAAGTAGCAGCCATCTGTAGATTGCTCTGTAGCTCCTGCTGGGTGGCCCCAGGCAGTGGCTGACTTTGCACCTCTCGGGAAGCCCCAGAGCCAGTGCACCTGGTGGACAGCTTCAGAACATACCATATTACAACTTTACACATACATGAGCGACACACTCAAGGGGCAGGCTCAATTGTGAAGCAGCACAGCTGTGGAGCAGCACAGCTATGAGGTGGCCCTGGGGAGATGCAGCCCCGATCTGCTCCACCTGCTTCTTTCACTCTGCCCTGCGCTATGCAGTGCCAACTTTCTCTGTGCCAGTCTACTACACACTGCTTGCTCTGCTCTGCTCCACTATGGTCTGGTGAGATGTCTTTAGTGTTTCATCTCTGGTGTTTGAGCTCCAGCCAGGGAAATGCAGTCTTTAGTCCTCAGTGGAAGGGAAAAATGCACTTTGGGGCCAGAGGGGAGCTAGTTTTCTAGACAGAAATCTGCACCCCTGGCTCCTGATTGGTTCATGCTCATGCAAATGAGGACTCCAAATTCTCACAGTTTGACTAGTTCAAAAGTCACTGCCTTGACTGGTCAGAATGGAGCTGCCCTGATTGATTAGTGAAGATGCCGATAGGAGATGCTGTGCAGCTCCAATGGATGGAGACAGCCTCAATCTTATTGGTTGAAATAGGATTCCAGGAACTCCTTTATAAGGGCTGGCTCAGATCGCAGGAACACAGTGCGTGCAGGCAGGCAGTTCAGTCCAGATTTCTCCCTGAAGTGTGGTTTGCATGAGAGGCCCCTGTGTAGAAATGGCTTCCAGACTCTGCTTTTACATTTGAGACCAGTTAGTCATCAGTAGCCTTCTGGGTAGGTATCTTCTTTCTCAGGGTCCACAGGTGCTTTGCTATCAGATCTCACGGCAACCTTCTGTTTGACCCATTTCACTCACTTATGTCATCTGGCTGCCCCCTGTAAACTTCGTTTGTCTCAGAATCATCTCAGGAAGTTTTTATTGTATATTTAAACATTTATTCTTGGAACCAGCCTGTTGCAAGTCTGCTCTAGTGCTGGGCTGAGTGACGGTTATGTGCAGCAGGTGGGAATCACACTCTTAAGACGTAGCCCTGGCTGTGAACATACCTTTGTTACAGGATTTACACAGGAACATGGGCTCTCAAGAGTGGGGACTTGTTTTGGTAACTTCTTTTTTAAATATATTTTTAGTGATTTCAGAAGGAGGAAGGGAGAGAGAGAAAAAGAGATAGAAATATCAATGATGAAAATCATTGATTGGCTGCCTCCTGCACACCTCCTACTGGGGATATGCCCTGACTGGGAATCGAACCCTGATCTCCTGGTTCATAGGTTGAGGCTTAACACTGGTTGGGCGGTAACTTCTTATTGACCCTGTCCCTGAAATATCTGGTAATAGGTACTTTAAATGCTGTAACATGAATGAATGTGTTATATTTTAATTTCAGTATGTGTTTGACCTCTAAAACGCATATGTACTTAAAAAACACATTTCCTGCTTTAGCCGGTTTGGCTCAGTGGATTGAGTGTCAGCCTGTGGACTGAAGGGTCCCAGTTTTGATTCGGATAAAGGGCATGTACCTCAGTTGCAGGCTCCTCCCTGGCCGGGCCCTCGTCAGGGTGTGTACAGAAGGCAACCAATCAATGTGTTTCTCTCACGTCGATATTTCTCTCTATCTTTCCCGCTTTGTTTCGCTTTCTCTAAAAATCAATGGAAAAATATCCTTGAGTGAGGATTAAAGAATAATAATAAAATAAATAAAGACAAATCGTTAAAAAACAAAACAAAAAACACATTTCCTAATTCAGATGTGTGGGTTTTTAGAGTTTACTTTAATAGGTAACACATTCATGTAGTTTTAAGATCAAAATATAAAAGGGAATAGAGTGAAAGTCTTCCCACTTATGTTCTCTCTCTGACCAGTACAGCATGCTCCCTCCCATCAAAGTATAAGCAATGCAAACATATATTCTTATTTTTTCTTTTTACTAAAAAGGTGGCTTATTAAAAATAATGTTCAACTTCATGCCTTCTTTGCTGTCAACATATCTTGAAGATCTTATATTAGTGGAGAGCTTCCTACTCCTTTTTTTGATTGTTTTACATTTGAAAAATGTTTCATTGTTTGGGCATATTCTAATTTATTTGACAAGTACCCCCAGTGAAGGACTTTTGGATTTTTCTAAGCGTTTGCTATTTTAAACAAGCTAAAGTTCCTACATTTGTATGTATGTCATTTCACACATATGTATACACACAGGAGTGTGCAAAGTCTATATGATAAATTCTCTAAGTGGAATGGATGCACATGTTATTTTTGATGTATATTACCAAATTGCCCTCTGTAGGGATTGTAGCATCAGATGTATTAGTTAAAGCTAATATCGATGTTTGTAATACTGTTTTAAAAAGAATATTTGCTCTCTTTTTGTTTTCTTTGCTGAGTTACCTAAATTTTGGTAAGAGAATTAAGATTGTTCTAGATCATTGGTTTCCACTATGGGCCAAAGACTCTCAAGGGGTTCCCAGATTTATATGCTAAACGAACATCAACTATATAAACAGATAATGTCATACATGTGAACTCTGTATTTCAAATGTACATAGGTGAGATTGTCCTATAAAATAAAAGCCTAATATTGCTAAGTGTCCAACTTTTCACCAGTCACTATGATGCGCACTGACCACCAGGGGGCAGATGTTCTGGTAGGTTAGCTTGCTGCTGGAGTCCGGCAGATTGGGACCCGGTGAGACAGCCGGACATGCCCTGGAGCCCTCCCATGGTCCTTCCCCAGCTCTGATTGGCCCCAATTGGGACTGGGCCAGACGAGCCAGACACACCCTGGAGCCAACCTCCCACCGTCCCTCCCTGGCCTCTAAAATATTTCTTCTAATTAATTTCCTTTCAATGTGCATGAATCTGTACACCGGCCCTCTAGTGTTTAATAAAATGCCAGTTTATTCAGTAGTGTCACTGAATTCTTGGCTCAGCTAGTAGCAGCTCGGCATCTTATCAGTGGTTGCCTTGTTTCACATGACCTTGGATCTTGCCAGGATGTCAGCTTTGTTTTGTGCCCCATCAGTTGTTGTTTTTTTTTTTTTTTAAAGTAGTTTAGACTGGAGGTATGGGAGTACAGAACCAAAAGACTGCATATACTTTTTATAATAAAAATGATCTTTTTCTTATAGATATTCCTTTAAGGACCAGCCTGCCACCACCATTCAGAAATTATAAATATGGTAACCAATTTTTCTTATTCTTTTAAAGCATATATTAATATATGTCACATTAGTTTTACATTGATATGAATTTAAATTTGGTTTTCAAAAAAGAATTTACTATTTGTAAGTAAAAACCAATATGGACGTTTATTTAGAAATATAGGAATTCTGATAATGTGTCTTTAAAGTACATGTGATTGTGCAGGGAAGTGGCCTGTTTGCGAGGAATAACATGTTGGCAAACTGTCTGAAATGAATTTCTTTGCCGGGTAATCAGAAAAGGAGAAATGATTAAAGACTAGGAGTAAAAAGAAGATGTTTAAGATTTTAAATGCCAGTAACTTGAGCGTGTTGTGCAGTAATTTTTATGTTGCAATTATTATTATTATTTAAATGTTTATTGTTGAAAGTATTACATATGTCCCCTTATTTCCCCCATTGACCCCCTCCAGTCCACCCCCGTCTCCCCCTGCCCCTGCCCCAGGCCTTCATGTTGCAATTATTGATTTTAAAGTGTAGTAATAGGCAGTAGTAAGCTGGGTTTCACTGTTCGTTATAAAGATGGTACAGTTGGTTATTAAACTGAGACTTCTCTTGAGAATTATGGTGCACCTAATAAATATTTCTGCTAATTGGTATAGACATTTTAAAGTATAAATATTTTATTACCTAGATCATTTTTTTGGAGTAGCTTTTAATTCTGTTCCCATTTGGTAGAGCAACTTCTGACCTAAAATTCTTTGAAATCACAGTCTTCCCCCGTGCACATGCATTTTAATATCCAGAGACTAATTGTGAGGTCGCTGGGGGTAGTCGGGCAGAAGCTGAAGGCACTGAGTGGAAAGTACTTTGATTTATTGGACTTTAAGAATTTGCATACTAAATACTGAGTAAGAGAAAGGAATAAAAGGTATGATTAGGTAAATATGAAACTTCTCAGTTCTGGCCTTCATGGCTTTCAAAACACAATGCCTTGAAATAGCACCTGAAGCTTGAATCAGTCTTCAGACGCCATTTCCACAGAAAAACTATACATGGCTCCCCCCTTCTGCATGGTTTGTATCTATATTCAGACTTGTGTTTCGTGTAAGTTATTTTGAGAGATAAGTTTTAGATAATGAAGGTCACAATATCTGGCTGCCAGTCATCATGGTAGGTATGTACCTTTTACATGATTTTACCTTATTGACATCTTTTTGTCCTAGTATTCCTGCACTATTCAGAGGAATTGGCAAGAAAAATGAATATGCTTATCTGTGAGAAATGAGAGAAGTACTAGGGCTTAGATAGACTTCAAGTGATTCTGTCTGAATTTGGCTCCTCAACAATCTGCTGCTCTGTGTTCAACAAGGAAGGCCGAAGTGTTACTTTCTCACCAGTCACTGTCCAGTGCTGCTACGTGCCCTGTGGGAACAGAACTCTTTGGGTGTTAGGGAGTGGAAAGGGCACAGAGGCGAATTTCAGTTTTGTTAGTTGCTGTCGCCATGCCCTGGGACAAAGGGCTGGTTCTCTCGGCCAGGCCAGGCCACGGACAGTCTGAGGTTCCTCAGAGCCCTTCATTCATTTATAAATGTACTGAAGGCCCAGTGCACGGGTTTGTGCGTGGGTGGGGTCCTTCCTATGCCCTCTCACAATCTGGGACCCCTCAGGGATGTAGCAGTGCCGAAGTGGCAGGCGGCCAGGGAGGACCCCCAGCTGGGAGCCGGGTGCAGCTCTGCTGCTGCTCATCCCGGCCCCACTGCGCCTGCCGCCCCCCAACTCCCTCCCCCGCTCAACCCCCTCCCACCCCCCACCCCCCATAGCACTGCCACGGAGGGGGGAGAGGCTCCCAACTGCTGCAGCTGTGATCACCAGCTGTGGGCCCAGTTTCTGGCTGAGCAGCGCTCCCGCTGTGGGAGCGCACTGACCACCAGGGGGCAGCTCCGGTGTTGAGCGTCTTGTCCCTGGTGGCCAGTGCGCATCATAGCGACTGGTTGACTGGTCGTTCTGGTTGTTCGGTCATAAAGGTCGCTTAGGCTTTTATATATATAGATTCCTCTCATTTAATTGGTATCTACATGTATTATTTATTTACCTTGACCAAACTGTGTTCCTACAGCACAGGGCATGTTGTCTTATTTTTAAATCCTTGTTGCCCAGGCACATCCATTGTGCAGTGTGGGGCTGCTGATCCTATTTGTTTTATATGGCTGCATGAGATTAAACAGTGCACATGCAAACACGTTAAATACTCCACAAATATAAAACATTTTTATTTTTATGAGGTTACTTTCCTCAAGGAATTTGCAGTAAGGAAACAATACCCACAGATGTTGCTTCTGAAGTTTTTTTTTTAAAGAAGTAAAAACAAGTAAAAGATCATTGAGCAAAGGAAGGGACATTAATACACCTTTTGCTAGCTCGTCATTCTCTTTTCTATCTCTTTCAAGTCTTACCAATTTCCATTGGAGAGAAATATCTGGTGAAAATTTCCATTCAGAACATTTATTTTCTGCTAAAAAAAGTGGCCTTTTTATTGTGTGTTGCAGGACTTACTAGAACAAAGATATTTCTAATTTAGTGGCTCATTACAAAATATACAGAACATGATTAATATTAGGTAAGGTCAGACTCCAGTTTTGCAGGTTGATTGTAACAGACGTTAAGCAAGGTCCTTTTACTAAGCAACAACTACAAACCAGTATGGGTTTCTCTAACTTGTCTCTAGTAATAAACTAATAGCTATCTATATTGAGAAAAGGAGTGTAGAAGGTAACTCAATAATAGATGATCCAAGAGCCACATTTGTTTATTTTCTTTTGTACCCTTGTGAGCTAATTTTTAGCAGTTGTGGCATATTTACATTTCTAATGTTCATATTTTACTTAGATTAGATTTCTTTTTATTTCTTAACAATACATAGGATTAGGCTGACTTTGCATTAAGAATTACAATAGATAATTGAAATTTGACTACTTAAAATAATGGATAATTCAGAGTGGTAGTTCTTAACTGAATAGGTACTCCTATTCTATATTGTTAGAACAGGGATCCTCAAACTTTTTAAATAGGGGGCCAGTTCACTGTCCCTCAGACATTCCACACATGCGCACTGCGGGCCCGGGATGAGTCGGCAGCTAAGCAGGACAGGCAACGGCGGCAAAAACACCTGGCGGGCCAGATAAATGTTTTCGGCGGGCCGCATGTGGCCCGCGGGGCCATAGTTTGAGGACCTCTGTGTTAGAACATAGTTAAATCGGGGTCTGTTTATTTATTTGTCAGATATATTTTTATTAATTTCAGAGATGAAGAGAGAGAGAGAGAGAGAGAGAGAGAGAGAAAAACATTAATGATGAAAGAATCATTGTTTGACTGCCTCCTTCATGCCCCACACTAGGGATCAAGCACGTGCATCCCGGGCATGTGCCCTGACCGGGAATTGAACCATAACCTCCTGGTTCATAGGTCAATGCTCAACCACTGAGCCATGGCATCCGGGCTCAGGATCTGTTTTTTTAAATAGATCCTGTTATTTCATTTCACTGCTGGGATTCCTCATTGAATCAAACAGTGTGATGAATAGAAATGAAGTTCAGTTTAAGGTTAAGAGTTTATTCAGGTATAATAATACATACATGTAATCATAATACATTAATTAAATGCTTAAGTAAAACTGAGTTAAAATTGTAAAATATCTTAATTTGAACATGTGGAATGCTGTCTATTATATGATTAAGAGCTGATTGTTGGCAGTCAGACTTTTACCCAATGTGGAGAAATTACTTATTGGAAAAGTACAGGGTAGCCTCACTTTAGGACGAACAGAGGAAGGAGCGAAGGAGGGACTGGATAAAGCAGGGTGGACGTGGAGGCCTGTGCAGTGTTGAAAACCAGGCGGGTATCAGTACTCCCTGTGCGTGAGCTGCGTTGTTCAGATTTCCAGTGATCTTCGATGCTATTTGAGTTCTTGGCGTGGTAATGACTTGTCACTGTGATCATTTTACCTCCTGTCACTGGATCTATTCTGAGTGATTAGTGAATACTTTGGAACTGTTTTTGATAATGTCTGTCTTAATTTAAGACAATTTTTTTACACTATTTGCTAATCTTAGCATTTGGCAACTTCAAAGACCAGGATAAAGTGATATGGTTCACTTGTCTTCTGTTCTGAGGGACATGTGCGGAGTTGACTTCAGGTTATGACACACACACCGCTGTGTGTGTCAAAGACCAAGGCTTTAAAATGTCTTTGTACAGTAATCTTTAATTTTAATGATACGCAAAAGTAATTTTTCTTTTACTGCATAGTAGATTTTTAAGAGAACGTGGTCCATAAAGTAAGGACTTAAATATTTTAATGTCATAGCCACCTTCCCCTCATCTCTCTTTAATAATTAGAAATGAAGTTTTAGAATAATCTTTGTAAAAAGATAATTTGCTTTTTTTCAGATAAATTGAAGATTATTCATCAAGCACATAAATCAAAGGTACAGTATCTGGTACATAGCAAGTAATCAATGTTGGCTGACTTAGTGAATAAATGAATGAAGACATGAACTTCTAAAATATTTTCATCATAATAGTGTTTTTTATTTTGTAAAAACCCTTACTACAGCTTTACTCTTCCATTAAAGAAAAAAAAATCTAAGTCATATGCCTGTTCATAGTAGATCCTTTAAAATGTGTTAATTTTTTTTGTCTTGGCCAGTTTTGCTCAGTGGATAGTGTCGGCCTATGGACTGAAGGGTCCCGGGTTCGATTCTGGTTAAAGGCACGTACCTCAGTTGCAGGCTCTATCCCCAGCCCGTCAGGGTGTGTGTGAGAGGCAAACCATTCAGTGTGTCTCTCTCTCATCGATGTTTCTCTCTCTCTGTCTCTTCCCCTCCCTTCTACTCTCTTTAAAAAATCAATGGAAAAATATCATCGGGTAAGGATTAACAAAAAAAATTTAAAAAATTAAATGCGTTATTTTTTTAAAAAAGGATACATATTGTATCTCAAGCAAATATTTAACAGAAAATAAGCATAAAACTTTGTAAATTTGGGTTACATATAAAGGAAGCCACTTATTATCTGGCAAGTCAATCTCTTATATTTTCTTAATCCTGTAAGGGAAGGAAGGAGCCCAAAGAAGGTAAGAATGATCTGCTTTTTCTGACTTGGCTCTCACTGTGTAAGAGAGGGCTCAGGACTTGGCTCTGGGAGCAAATCTGCAATCCTAACGTTGTCTTACCTGCCCTGCAGAGAACTGCTTGTTTATGTGTTTATTGTGTGTTTACACTTCTGTTTCATTACTTTTTTAGAGTAATTTTTTATGAAGCCACAATCAAAGGTTTGCTTCTTACAACACAGACTAGCGTGATCCTTTTTCTTGAATCTCAATGACCCTTGTATTGACTCATAACTATAACTACCTTACTCTGTTATACAAACTAGTCAAGGACCAGGGAGCGTATCTGCTTCTTCCTAGCTCCAGTACCTAGCACAGTGTCTCATTCAGAGGCATGTTTCCATAGCAATTTTTGAATGAAGTATTTATTTATAAGTTCACTTCATTTCATTCCCTTCTCTGGTCATAGATGCCCTCCATAAATTCAGTCAGATTTCAAATAACTGTATAGCACAGATTATAAAGAAAATAGCATGAGGGTATGTATATTGATTATGAATTAGTAACATTTTTTCCCTATGGTTTAAAATAACACAGATTCTTGCACTAGTGGGGTCCCTCGGCCTGGCCTGCGCCCTCTCGCAATCTGGGACCCCTCAGGGGATGTCAGACTGCCGGTTTTGGCCCAGTCCCCACAGGCCAGGCCGAGGGACCGCACTGGTGCACAAATCCATGCACTGGGCCTCTATGCATATAAGATCTTTGGTTAATCTTTCCCACCCTCCTCCCTTCCCCCTTCCCTCTGAGATTCATCAGTCTGTTCCATGTTTCCATGCCTCTGCATTGAGCGTCTACCTCCTGGTAGTCAGTGTGCATCATAGCTACCGGTCAAACGGTCGGACGGTCGCTTAGGCTTTTATATATATAGATGTGAGAGATCTTTAATTAGAAAACTTTGAAATGCTAGTGAGGATCTTTAGTTGTCCAGGCTCATTAAACTGAACTCCTCTGAAGATATGTGCATTTTATTTATGTGAAATTCTACCTCGATTTTTAATAAATATATATATATATATATATATATATATATATATATATATATGAAGAGGATCCAAAATAAGATTTAAGTAGAAATACTTAGAATATTTTGGAGGGCAAGGTGCAGCATAAAGATGTATGGTCTTTCTTTATTAATTTACAAATGTAATGCCACCCCAACAAAATACTAACAACAGTTAGTTTTTAAGAAACATGAGCATATGAACAAGCCCAACATAGTTTTATGATTATAAAACTAATATGCAAAATATAAATGATGAATAATAGTCGGGAAAATGAGAAAAATGAGAGTGACTGGCCTTAGCATTAATTAGACATATTATAAAACGATAGTAATTAAAACAGTGTGGTACTGTCGCATGAACCATGAGTTCAACAGCATAGAATTAAAAGTCCAAAAATAGACCCAAACATATATAGGAATTTTAGTTTATAGTAAATACGGCATTTCAAATATGTGGAGGATTTAATAAGTGTTATTGGGACAACCTCGTAGACATCTAGAAAACAGTTAAGTTGAATCCATAGCCTTTTCTTTATTGGATTAATGACTTAAATGTGAAAGTGAAACTTATCCATGGGGTAGAGATGAAACAGATTGGACATTAGTGGATAATTTGTTCAAGCTGGGTGATGGGTACATGGAGGGTTCATTGTACTATTCTCTACATTGTATGTTTGAAATTCTTCGTAATTAAAAGTTTAAAGGATGAAATTAATAAAAATACTTGAAGAAAACATGGAATTTTAAAAGTAATCTAAGAGTGAAGGTCTTTCTAAGTATGATACTATAAAGGACTGATACATTTTATTTCATTTATTTTTTATTTTTTTGTTAGTCCTCACCCGGGGATATTTTTCCATTGATTTTTAGAGAGAGTGGAAGGGAGGGGGAGAGACATAGAGAGAGAATCATCGATGTGAGAGAGACACATCAATTGGTTGCCTCCAGCATGTGCCCCAACCAGGGCCAGGGATTGAGCCTGCAACTGAGTTATGTGCCCTTGGCCAGAATCAAACCCAGGACTCTTCAGTCCATGGGCTGACACTCTGTCCACTGCGCCAAATCGGCTAGGGCTCATTAATTATTTTTTCATAATTCAGCATTCTACTTGAAAATGCTCTAAGAAAAATCAAAGAACAAATGAAAACTGGGGAAAATTTTCTAACTGATAGAAAAGGCCTCATTTTGTTAGTAAAAATGATATTCTGTAATTCTATTTTAAAAAATTATCCTACAAGTTCATTAAAAAGCAGAAAATATTCACAGCGTTACCCATAATAAAATAATACAAATTAAGACTGTACTTAATCTATATCTATTGAGTTGGCAAAGATCAGATGGTTTGGATAATAGGTATTCTCAGCAATTGATAGCGTTAATGTAAGTTGGTACCACTTCTCTGGGGAGTAACTTGCAAATTAAAATTCATCAAAATGCAACTTTTCAAAACAAAAATTGCAAGTACTCTAACTCAACAATTCTACTTTTAGGAATTTATCTTTCCTATAAAACTTGTACATATGAAAAATGATACATGTACAGGATACTTGTTGCAGGTTTGTTTACGGTAACAAGAGATTGGAAACGACATAAATGCCATCAATAGGGACTCTGTGTGTGTGTGTGTGTGTGTGTGTTTGTGTCCCTTCAATGGAATATGCTACAGCCTTGATAAGTTATGAGGCAGCTCTTATGCTGATTTTGAAAAGTTTTAAGCTATATTTTAGGAGAAAAAAAGTAACGTGTGAGAACACAGTTTCCATGCACATCTCTGCCTGCATGTACACGCCAAGGACAGTCTCTGGGAGGTCACACAGGAATTGGTACTGGTTCTGTGGAGAACTGCATAGCTACTAGATAGGGGTTAGGAGGAGACTGACTTCACTCTCTGTCCATATGTACTTAGAGACTTTTGTATCACGAGTATGACCTATTGTAAAATGATACTTTTAATAAAGGTTTTTCCCTTATAATCTGTGTGCTCCGGAGGTCGCGCCCCTGTGCTCTCTAGTGAGTGAAGGTGTGGCTGCTGGGCCTTCTCTTTCGGCTGCTGAGAGGCCTTCCTGTTGACGCTCCCTCTCAGCCGCACTCTAGAAATAGAAAACGTTGCTACACAGCCGTGTTCTAGTTGACAAGTGGTACTGTGTGCCCAACTAGTGGTCACCTCTGTGTGCTGTTTAGGGGCAGATAGCAACTCAAAATTTTCTCCAATATTTATAATTTTTAACTGGATTTGTAAATATTGTAGCGCAGATTCATCTACCCCCACCTCAAATCACATCAAGAAAGGTGACAGTTAATATGACATGGGAGCAGTGTTTATTAGCTAGGGCGAGGTGTTAGCTATGTGGATTTTGGCCATCGAGGTAAACTTGTTTACTTCGGAAGTCAGACTGATCAGATACAAGCTTAGAGTACTCTGGGTCAGCCATGTACTCTGGGCCTGTATCATTTTCTTTTTTCTTTTTTTAATTGTTGATAATATTACAGGTGTCTCCCACTTACCCCCCTTCCCTTCCCTCTTCCTAGCCCCAACTCACCCCAGGTCTTCACCACCCTGCTCTGGGCCTGTATCTTTTTTTTTAATGTATTTTATTGATTTTTTTACAGAGAGGAAGGGAGAGGGATAGAGAGCTAGAAACATCCATGAGAGAGAAACATCGATCAGCTGCCTCCTGCATACCTCCCACTGGGGATGTGCCTGCAACCAAGGTAACATGGGCCTCCCTGACAGAATCGAACATGCCCTTGACCAGAATCGAACCTGGGACTTTTCAGTCCTCAGGCCGACACTCTATCCACTTTGCCAAACTGGCCAGGGCTGGGCCTGTATCTTAACCTCTCTGATTTGTCCTGGAATATTGTGAGGATGAGATGGTGATGATGATGGTGGTGATGATGATGTTATGAGATGGTAATGATGATGGTGGTGGTGGTGGGATAAGATGGTGGTGATGATGATGATGGTGGGGGGGGCTAAGATGATTGTGATGATATGAGAGGATGATGATGATAGGAGATGGTGATGATGGTGGTGGTGGTGATGGTGTGGCAGTGACAGCAAGAGAACAGTTAACAGCTAACAGAGATTTCTTGCTATGCGACTGACACTGTGTTGAGTGTTTTATATGCTTCATCTCATTTCATCCTCACCACAAAGTAATAGAGAAGATGTATCCTTTCCTCCTTTTGTTCAGATGAGGAAACCGAGTCTAAGAGAGGCTGTGTAGTTTGTTGAGAGCACACAGCTGGACGTTGGTGGAGCTCTAAAGCGGTGTGCTGTAGCACTGTCTCCCTAGTGCTTTCCACAGTGTGCGCACTTAGGTGCTCTCTGTCCATTCACTTCTCTTCTTATGGTAACGGGGGTAGAATGTGACTCGGGCTATTGCTGTGTCCCGAAGTAACAATTCTGTGTCTTTGCGAAATCTCACCACATGTGAAGCACAGAAGTACTACTAAAATGCAGATTTTCCTTCTTTCTAGACAAATGAACTTGTGCTGAGTTTGGAAGATGATGACACACTCATGTTGAAAGAAGACCACACTCTGAAAGCAGCTGGAATCGGTGAGAAAGAGTGTGCGGTGCCAGCAGGAGTCCCAGCCTGCGTGGCGGCCCCGGCTGATTATACTTGGATAACTCGCTGCAGAGTAAATGCTACTCTTGGTGCCCTGAGCACCGCCTGATAATTATTCAGAGGAGGACGAGATGATGTGCATTCAGACCATCTCACTGAGGGCAGTAGTTATCTGCTCTCCAAATGTTCCGAATGCAAATAGTTCTTTTCGGAAGGTATGCTCAGAATTCTGCTGAGGGTTATTTTAAATGATTGGCAGGTTATTGCTCCATAACCTGCTTATTATCAGCCTCATTTGATGAACGGATGGTTTGAGAGAAGTGGACCTGGTGGAAACTGATGTGAAATAAGGAAGGGTGATGTTTGTAGAACATGCAGCATGGTCTCCATAGTTGTCCAGATCACTCCGGGCCGACCAAATCACGGAATCTCAAATAGGAGCCTAGTGAGTGCAGTTGAAAAACGGCCCGAATTAGCCTTTCAACCTGGAAAAGGCATGCAGTTCTAGTTTAAAGAAATGCTGCTACATATTTTGTGACCATTAGATGTCACTCTAATTCTACTTACATGTACACCTAAAGCTTATCTGGCAGCAGGAGTGAAAATTTTGGGAGAGCTGTGAGCAGGTGAAGGCTTTATGCCTCTGACACGCCTTTGTGGTCGGTGACTAATGAAACAGCACAAGTCACACTCGACAGCTGCACATGTACTGCCGTGTTTTGTTGTGTTATTTAGTCACAGATGTCAGGGATTTACTTTCGAGTGATATATGCAGCTAAAGTAAGTTCCTGACAAATCTTCTAATTTAAATAGGATTTTTAAAGAACATGTTATGAAATATTACACTTGATTTCTATGTTTGTCCACACTGTTTGCTAGATTAGTATCTTTTCATATTATGATTGACCATATACATAAGATTGATTGTTATTATTTGAAAAAAACTTTTTATTTTGGCATATATTTCTTCAGATGCTGTTGTATTATTATAGCAGGTGGCACCTGTGTTATTGAGTCACATGGCCCCTAGCATAAAGCCATAATGAATATAACCAACTGGTATTGATGCAGGAATTGACAGATCTATGGGAAAGAACAGAAAATCTAAAATCAAACTAAAAAAAAAAGTAAGGTTCCACAATTTGATCAATTTTTGACATCTCAAATAAGTGAGGAAAGGATGAATTAACCAGAAAATGATGTTGGGCTCATTGCCAAAGCATTTGGAGAATTGCAATTAAAATTTTTATCTCAGTCTTTATTCAAAAATAAATTCTAGGTGGATTGAGTGTTATAATGTAGAATTTTTAAAAAATGTAGTTCAATAGATTTATAATCTTGGGGAGGAGAAGAGCTCTAAGCATGACCATAGGCACTAAAAACAATGTAAACAGAGTTAAAGGAGAAGCAATAAACTATGAAAAAGTATTAGCATCATATATGACACATAAAAGGGTATGAGCCTGATTTTATAAGAATCACCTATAATTAGTCTGAAAAAGATAAACAAGAAATTCTACTGATAGAAGAAATAGCTAACATGAAAAATAATGCAGCCTTATTAGTGATGAGAAATGCACATGAAAGTAGATACTGTTGGATGTCCTGTACTAGTCTAGGGGTTAGGAATTAGACCTGGAGCCAGAGTGCTTGGGTTCATGGCTGATCTGCCACTTACAGGCTGGGTGACCTTGGGCCAGTGGTAATTATAAGACTAGCAGCCATGAGGAAAGTGCTGGTGTTGGGAAAGGGACGATCTTCGAACTACTGTTGGGGTATCCGTGACCTATAACTTTCAGTTTGACCAACAGGACTTCCTCAAACTTAATGTGGTGTCTTATCTATCGACATGCCAACAAGAGCCTGCTTGCTCAAGCTCTGGCTCCTTTGAGGTGGTGATATGTCTTCAGAGAGGTGGCCGTGTTCTCTCGCCTCCCCGTTAGTGAATCACTCGTGTGGAGCTTAATTTATTGACTGGACATAGAATATATTGTGTCATACCTTTGTTATTTAAAAATGTACGTATTGCCCGGCCGGTGTGGTTCAGTGGTTGAGCGTTGACCTATGAACCAGCAGGTCACGGTTCAATTCCTGGTCAGGGCATATGCCCGGGTTGTGGGTTCCATCTACAGTGGGGGGCGTGCAGGAGTCAGCCAATCAATGATTCTCTTTCATCATTGATGTTTCTATATCTCCCTCTCCCTTCCTCTCTGAATCAATAAAAATATATTTTTTAAAATGTACATATTTACATATCTGTATGTGTATATGGAGAAAAGAAATGATTTCTCAGGGAGGTGACATTGCTAAAAATTGATTTTTTCCCCTCACCATACTATCTAATTGTTCTTGTAATTTAAGATTTGTCTACAGTTTACATCTATTACTTGTAGAGAATAAAGTCCTAGAGTTGGAGAAAATTGATTTGAATGAAGGCTCGCATTTTACTTGCTTTGTGACTTTCTGTAAGCCATTCAGCCTCTCTGAACTTCTATTTCAGCTTCTGTAAAACAAAACAGAAGTAATTAAACCTATTTCAGAAATTAAACCTATTTCAGAGGCTCGTCATAGAGATGAGTAAAAGCATGGATACGAAAGCATCCGGAGAAATGCATGCAAAGGCCCTCAAAAATATTTATTTTATTTAGGAACCATTCTGGAGAAGGCAATTGGCAAATGTTTTGAATTTATTAAAATATTGAATTGTTGGCTTAATTGTCATTAATTTCAGATTCACGTACTGAGTCACCTGTTGTAAAGGCGAGAATCAATTCCATCAGTTTGTCTTCCTCCTTTTCAGGCCATAGGCCTTTGATCAGAATCAGATCCTTCGCACGAGTTCTCGCTAGTCTCTGGGCGGTACAAGGACGTCCACTGCGCTCCTGCGCTGGCCAGCCCGCAGCCCTGGTCAGGGGCCACTTCGGTCACTGCTGGGCCCATTCTCTCCTTGCACAGTCCCTGCTGTCGCCAGAGCAGCGGAGATGGACTTGGAGAACAGGCCACAGTGCGCAGGAAAGGAGGTCCCCGGAGAGCTGCAGTGCGAAATGATCCTTGGAGCGTGTGATTATCCTCGGGGACTTTCCCTCCTCGGGGCCGCTCTGGCTGGCTTTTTAAGAGGTTTAAGAGGAAAATCCAAGTCATCACTCTCCCCTTTACCACCGATCTCATCTCGCTGTGGAGCTGTCACTCTGCTCTCACAGCCAGTTGCCATGGGAATAATGCCATTGTAACAGATTTATCATGATGACTTTTCTGCAGAAGTCATGAAAGGAAAAAGAGAAACTGGGAGGGGGGAATACAGGGGACAGAACTGTTTGAAGATTTCTTTTCTCACAGAGAAATTCTCCAGTTCCTGCTCTGGCCTTTTATCTGCACTACAGTTCCCAGTTGTATGTTGTGCCTGATGGGGGAAGTTGGTGTTTGTGGACCAGTGCTGGCATACATAAGTAAAAAGATTTGCTTTGTGGAAGGAAGAAAAAGCTTCACCTAGAATTGTTACTTATACTTTAAAGAAGTTTACCTTGTTTTTAACTATTGTAATTTTATGGACTAATTCCCCTAAGCAATAAATTTGCATGTAAGGTTTTTTTTTGGCGCTACTGTATTTTATCTTTTGTTTTGCTACATTCTACAACTGTTACTAGTACATTTTTTTAATCCTCTCTGGTTTAGTAAAGTAAAGAAATTGTATCAGGGAAACTCTTCCAAAGCCAGTTGTGGTTTATTGGAAAATTTTTACAAGATACAGTAGGCCATACTATGAGCCATTGTCTGGGACTGGGTAGAGGAGGTGTGGGCCCAACAAGTGGGGGCTCCAGATGGGGCCAGAAGGAGCCTCCTATAAGCCATTCTTCTTTCTCCTCCCCTCACCATTGTGGGAATCACAGGCATGTGTCCTGCCTATCAGATGTCAGGTTTACTTCACTGTCTGTTTTCTTCTCACTGTAGTTTGAAATCTTCTCTGCCTGCTGATCTGAAACAGACACTTGGAGCAAATAGGAAATAAACGCACGGTAGTTGGGGGACCGTCTTTGCTGGATGGCTGACGTCCTTTGGTGAACATTTAGAAATATAACTCAGCTGCCGGCATGGTTGTGAATGATTTGTGGATTAGGATTTTATGAAACTTGGGAGGAGAGGATATTTGCCTGGAGCAGGAAGGAGGGCGAACTTTGTCCTTTGGGTCTCAAATTGCTACAGAATCCGCACCTAGCTCTTCCTGTTTGTTTGTTTTGGGGGTTCTTTTGCCAGTCATCTGCATTTATTACCACATTACAGCCTGGCCTGACCATTCTTTGTCTGAACCACACAGTGTTCACGTGTCCATCTCTCTTCTCAGACGGCAGTTGCAGCGCCTCACTGCACCGCGGCCAACAGGGACGCGGCTCAGGCTGGAAACTGCCATGAACTCTCATCAGTAGCCAGTTCATTGAGATGTTATTTGGGTTTGAGTTCATTGCATTAAATTTTCCTTGAGATTTTACATTTAAAATTGGTTTTTCTTTTATATAAAGTCATTATTATTACTTTCCTGATAAAGGTAGGGGTGTGTGTGTGTGTGTGTGTGTGTGTGTGTGTGTGTCCTGTTTGGAAACAAAATTACTGATTTTATAGCCAAAGTTTGAATGTGCTGGCTTGTGTTCATGTCATTAAAATTGAAAGTCAGTGTTAAAATGATCCACAAATGTATTTGGAGGGCTCTTGATTTCATTCGCTAGTAAGACAAAGGGAGGAACTGGCAGTGTGCTTATTGGATTTTAGATTGCATGTTCATTTCAGATTCACATGCCGAGGCACTGGGCACCGAGTGCACTGCCGCCTGCAGCACTTTTAATTTACAGTCAGCTGCCCAGAGGACCAGCACAGGCAGACTTCCCGGGGCTCTTCCAGAGCCATTTGAATAGAATCTGGGAAGCAAGAATTTAAGGGATAATGGTGGAAAGGGTGATTATGTAGAGGTCTTGAAAATCTTTCATATTTCATTTACTTTAATTGGCAACTAAATTTGCATTATAAGTGCTTGAAATCATTCTCTCAAACATTTTCAACAGAATTTTACAGATTTAAAAGAAACATTATATTCTATTTCTATTTGGGGACCACAATACTAAAGTTTAAAATTCATTTTATGTCTTACTTTTGAATGTTTAGAGAAACTAATTTTTAATTTGTGTTGTTTTCCAATTTGTTAGGGGTGAAAAATTTTTTAAATATATTTTTATTGATTCCAGAGAGGAAGGGAGAGGGAGAGAGAAACATCAGTGATGAGAGAGAATCATTGATTGACTGCCCCCTTCATGCCCCCTACTGGTTATCAAGTCTGCAACTCGGGATGTGTCCTGACCAGGAATTGAAGGGTGACCTCCTGGTTCATAGGTTGGTCCTCAACTACTGAGCCACACCGGCCGGGCAGGGGTGAAAATTTTTATCAACCTGATGAATTTGAGTTTAACTCATTTGCCAGTCTAGTTTTCCTGAAAAAAAAAATGCATTCATCTGAAAACAAAATCTTCATCTTAGATGATCTCATTTGAGCCTGTATTATGTTATGAGAGGTGGCATAAATACTTTATATGAATAATGGATTGATCTATAAGTTAATTAGATCCATGAGAACCTGCTGTCAAAAGAAAAATGCTCTGTCAGTCCTTTCTTCACATCAGCTTATTCTGGACCTATTACTGTACTGAAGAGCTGTACGCTGTATTAGTTTCTCAAAAGGGGTACAGAGAAATGTCAACCTGGGGAAGTGAGTGTTGTCATTCTAGGTAGTGTGTATTGGCGCAGTGCTGTGGGGAGTTCTGTATGTAAATTGCTTGTGGTAGATGAAACCTTGCGTCGTGATTATGAAGAACAGGGTGCTTTAGCTCCTTCTCCATTAGAAAGATGATTAAATCACTTGCGAATGATTAAGTCTACTTTTAGGTTTGCTTCCCTTCAAAAGGAAACCCCAGGAGCTTTTTATATAAAGGATAGATCTCAAAATATCTTATCTTTGAATATTGGATTTTTTGAAGTCCCCTTTCAACATTTAACTGATTCCCAGTGTGGAGCCTCTTACCCATTCTTTTAAATGCTTTTTTTTGGGGGGGGGGGTGCAACTAACTAAATGCACCCTCCTCGTTGATTCCCAGTTTCTCTCTGCTGTACCCTCCCCTACGCCCCCCAAGCTCATTGTGATGAGAGTTTGCAGTCTGATTTTCATCAAGATGAACCTTCATGTAGTGGACTAGAAGGAGGGTCTGAGACTATGGGGGATTTTATTTTCTTCTTCAACATTTCTGTATTTGCTGTAATGAGCATGGGTAACTTACACTTGAGAAACATTAAATTTGATGTTCTTAAAACCAGCAAAAACATTTTTAATGAAATGTCATACTAAGTGTTTGATTTCCTTGTTTCGTGACATATTCTAATGATGAGATGAGAGTTGTAAATGAAGTGGTAATCCTGGGCGTCCCTCCTTATTATCCTATTTATTTGTCTTGAAGAGTTTACTTGTCTGCTTTTAGAGGATATGTTAATTGACTGATCAGTATTCATTACAAATAATCTTGTCTGTTTTCTTGTCGAGATTCTGAAGGCCCTTTTGCTCTTTCTGTAAAAGCTAAGCAGACTGTATTAACTTCTGATTTAATTTAAAAAACAAATGTGGAACTTGTTGGCGCAACACCTTAAAGAATTGCATGTTTAATAATTGGAAGGCTTTCCATCAGATTTGTCTCCAGTCTGAATTAATAATGTTGCTGACTTATTGTTTTAGAAGACAGAGTCCTTGACCTGCTAGGTTGAAAGAATTGTGACTGCTCTGAACCTTGCGGGTCCTTTAGCTGTGCCGTATCCCCTGTGAATAATTAGAGGTATTTGAAGGTATTGAGGTAGAAGCCAATTTGTGTCTTTCACTTTGCATACTGTTGAAGTCTCATGAATTAATCATAAGCAGGCAAAAATTAACTTCTTCAGACACATATTTTGATGGGTCATGAGGGAGAATGTAAAGTGATCTGTAAAATATTCTACTGATCCTCTGAGTATTAAATTATTATACCTACAGGCTAATTTCAGAGGAAAAAAGAGTTTTCCTCCAGTAATTGAGTAGCAAATTTGAAAAAAATAAAGGTTTGTTATTTTCTAGGACTGTTAAGAGGACCATAAATGAGCAAATTTATGATTTTCTGAAAACCAGATTCTTGTGTTAATTATTGTTTTAAATTTTTTTGTTTATTGTTCTTTTTACTTTTAAATTACTTGATTTCTAGATTCTTGTAACTCCAGTGAATACTTCTTGTTGATTTAGTGAACTGTGAAACCAAACAAATAACTCATCTTTCTCACTTTAGGCATCTAAATCACTAAATCAGAGTAATGTGGGTTTCCATACTTATTTAAATCCAATTTCACATTAAAATTATTTTCCATTTTCTGTTTGTCTTTTTTTCAGCCAATGAAACTGAAATTGCATTCTTCTGTGAAGAAGATTATAGGAACTACAAAGCTAATCCCATTTCATCCTGGTGAAAACCTCACGGGGCTTCCTTTTTGCATGCCTATATTAAGCTCTTTATTCCACTAGTGAGTTTTTAAATTGACAAATAAACTTTAAAAATTAATCCTGGCTCTGCTGTTTGAGTTAAAATCTGTGGTATTTTCTCTCTTTGCCAGTCTCGTTTTTCTTTCTTTCTTGTTGTAAAATAATATATTTATTTGTGAGAAAAAGTTTGATGGATTATTTTTTTTTTCTGGAAAAGTCATTTGAAATGGCTTGGGTGGGCCTGAAAGTTGGGTGGGGCAGGGTCTCAGGGAATCACCAGGTGGGCAAATAGGGTGAGCCAGATTGATGGAGACTCAGATATGGCACCCAGCTCTGTGGGAGGAGGACCTAGCAAAGGAACCACCTCTGCCAGCACTTCTGTCTGGGAATAAGCTGCCCCTCCAGCCCTTGCTGGATAATTCAGTTCCTCCCTGTATGTCTCTGGAGACTTTTGAGCTCCTGCCCAGCGCTGGGGCTCAGAGCCTGTGAGTCTGAGTAAGTTTGTGCATGGGCCCTTTAAGGGAACACCTGGGACTCCAGCAGCCTTTTGTCTCATTTACAATTTCTGCTTCCTGGCTCTGGAACCCTGGGCTGGAGAGCCTGGTACAGGACTGGGACTCCTTGCTCCTCAAGGTGGACCTCCGCACCCAAGATAGCCCTTTAACTTTTTAAAAAATATTTTATTGATTTCAGAGAGAAGAAGGGAGAGAGATAGAAACATCAATGAAGAAGGGAAAGAGATAGAAACATCAATGATGAGAATCATCCATTGGCTGCCACTGGGGTCGAGCCTGCAACCCGGTCATGTGCCCTTGACCAGAATTGAACCTGGGACCTTTCAGTCTGCAGGCTGACACTCTATCCACTGAACCAAACCAGCCAGGGCCCCTTCTAACTTTTAACCACCCCACCTGGGTGTGGGACAAGCTCCTCTACCCATCTCCACGTGCTTCTGTACATCCTTAGTTATAGGACTTGTGATCTATACTTCAGGCAGTTCTCGATCGTTGTTCTGTAGTTTACTTGTAATTTTGATGAGGTTGTGGGAGGAGGTGAGTACGGTGTTTACTTACTCCACTATCTTGACCGAAAACTCCAGCCCAGAATTTCCAAGTTTGATTTTTTTAAAGTGAAGAAATAGTTTTCCAGAAATCATCATGGAATATTTGTTCTTTAGTCATAATTTGTTTTTCTGAAGTTAGGGGTTATTTTGGTGACTTGCATGTTGAGTTCTTTAAAAAGATTATAAGACTAAGGTGATTCTGCTTATTTTGTATTTTTCCCATAGTTTCTAATTAAAGGCACTGTTGCTATCTTTGGCTAGCAGAGATTTTAAGAGTCTCTTATGACTGTCAAGGCCATCTTTTAGCTCACAGTGATACACATCACTACTCATGAAATTGAATCATGTATATTTTAGGAAGTTTTCTGATGTAAGAGGGTTTCTTCTTTTCTTTTAATATTTCAGCCTACTCATATAACGTTGCCGAAATATTTTTATGTGAGCTGTGTTTCCTGACTTAAGAAGCAAACTACAATAGAACCAAACTCATTTATTTGGAGAAAGAACGTAACAGGATGTTTGCACTTCATTGACGCATTCTTTCACAATAATACTTCACTTCCTCATAGTGGCTGACCACCAGGGCCTGAGGAGGAGGAGTTGAAAAGGGGCCCTTGGCCAGCATGCATCTGATCAGAACTCAGACAGGTTGTTGGCTCTAGAATTACTCCATGAACCTTTACAATTGCCATTAGGGCAAATTGGTTTGCTTCATGGTGGTAGAGGCTAACTTGAAAAAAACCATTCTTTTTAAAAACTCAACTTTGAAAGTTTGGTTAACATAATAAGAATATGGTTTTTGTTGTTGAAAGATTTAATAGAGCCTATTTTTAAAAGAAATTTATTGTTTCATTCATTAAGTGAACTGCTGAATGCACACACGATTTAGGCTTCTGGGGGCTAATAAGATACAGTTTTGCCTCAATGAGTGGGGAAAGATATATCAGCAAATAATTTTAATGGCAGTGAAAACTGCTATGGAACCATTAATGATGGGGTAATTCTATGTGGGATTAAGTTTTATTTTAAAAGAAGTACCAGTTGAACTTTGTCTTAAAAGATTGAGTAGGAATTTTCACTTAGTGGAAAATAAGGGAAAGGCATTCAGGAAGAAGGACAGCATATGTAAAGGCAAAGCACTGTGCAAGAGCTTGGGGTGTTCACTAGAAAGTACAAATTTCATCTATAATAATAAAAGCATAATATGCTAATTAGGCCGGACGTCCTTCTGGATGTCCTTCCGGACAATGCTGAGGCTGCGAGGGAAGCATGGGTCCCGGGTGCCTGCCGGCGGCTGGGGGGAGGCCCAGGTCCTGGGTGTCAGAGGGAAGCTGGTGCAGGCAGCCATGGGAAGGAAGGTCTACTCTTGCATGAATTTTGTGCATTGGGCCTCTAGCTGGAATATAAAGCACTTGGAATAAAGTGGAGGAAGATAAAACCAGAAGGTGAGTGAGCCTTGTAAGTCATGCTAAGAAGTTAGAACTTCATATAATTGGTAGCTGGGAGCCAGTCAAAAGATTTAAACAAGTAACTTCCATGATTAGATTTGTATTTTAGGAAGTGAGCATTGTCCAGATGGCAGAAAGACTAGAAGGTGTTTGTCAGACCAGGTGAAAGCTGGAAGGCCTTGACCTAGGGCACACAGAGAAGAGGAGACCTCCTTGAGATAGTGTTAACATTCGGTCATGCCTTGTGTTAGGTACTCTACATACATTATCTCATTTGATTTTTACCACAACTCTTCAGTCTTGATATTTATAGAAGAGGAAACTAGGGCCCAGAGAGGTAAAGGGATTTACTCAAGGCAATGCAGTGATGTGCATTGGGATCGGAGGCTGGTCTGTTAAAATCCTGACCTGGCCTCTCGGTGGATGTCTGAAGTAGAATTGTTACTGGAGAAGGACCAGCCCAGGGCTTCCCCTCACAGTCTGGAAATAGGATTCTTCTGTGGTGTCCGAGGAAAAGAATTTTGGGACACACACACGTAGGAGGAGTTTAAGTGGTAGCGGCAAGATTTATTAGAGTGAAAAGAGAGAGTACACCCTCGGAGAGGTGGAGTGGGCAGGCTGCCAAGCCTCCATATATTTTCTTGAGTTCGGAAAAGAGCAGACTTTCCTTCACACTGTCCAGTCTCTTTCCTGGCTTTTCCCTGGGGCTTTGCCTGTGCCCTCCCTTCATCCAGTCCCTTTCCTGCTTTTCCAGGGTTTCTTGCCCTCATACTATCTGATCTCCCCCCAAAGTTACCAGGCTAGCCCCGTCCCCCTTTATGATTGCCATGTGGCTTCTCTGCATGCCTCAGAGTTCTGCTTCATCATTTGGCTTCTACTGCACATGCCCTGAGTGAAAGGAATTTCCCTTCGTGGTCCCTACCCCCCTCCTGTTAATCTGGCAGAACCGTGCAGGGTGTTTCCTAGGGTGCTGGTTGCTTCCTGGGGTGCTGGGTGCTTCCTGGGGTGCTGGGTGCTCCCTGGGTGCTGGGTGCTTCCTGGGGTGCTAGGTGCTCCCTGGAATGCTGGGTGCCTCCTGGGGTGCTGGGTGCTCCCTGGGGTGCTGGTGCTTCCTAGGGTGCTGGGTGCCTCCTGGGGTGCTGGGTGCTTCCTGGGGGACCAAAAAGCATCTTTCCTGCCTACTCGGATGCTTGGAGTGACTGAAACTGCCCTCTCCTAGTTAATCTGGCTTCATCTGATGTCTGGTTCCATTTGCCGGGGTCCCTTTTGTTAATATCTAGCTAACTGCCTGCTGTATCAGAATGAGCAGTAGAATCTTTGGGACATAGTGGAAGGTGGAAGAGAAGAAGGAGGTGTGGAGACTTCAGTGATTCTTGCTTGAGTAAGTGACTGGATGGATGGTGACAGCATTAACCCAAATAGTGAATTTAGTAAGTAGAAGAACAGGTTACAGCATATTCCATTTGTTCATTTTAGGTTTTTAATTTTATTTTTATGTTATTTTTTTCTTCCCATTTAATCATTTTATAAGCATTCAGTTTACACACAGGTTTTTAAATAAAAAGTAAGCATATCTTTACCTGTATGTTTTCTTCTTATGAACAGTGCAAAAATATGTACATATGACCCTTTTGGTGTGTATTTATTTTCCTTATTAGAAAGTTGCATACAGGCTTTTTTCACTTATAAACAGCATGTAAAAATAAAAACTAGAAATATATTATAACTATAAAGGGCTTTTACCAGAAATGGAAGATTGGTTCAAAACTATAGAAAACCAATTGATGTATTCAAAATCTATAGATTAAAGAAGAAAGAAATTATTATCTTAATAGATACATTTGATGATAAGCAATCCCATAAATGAGTAAAAATTTAGAACAGAATACCCTTCACTTGACAAATGTTTCCTGCAGAAAGCTTAATGAAGAAGTGTTTGAGCACACCTATTAGACATGATTAAGGCAAGGGTGACCACAATCAACAGGACTACTCAGAACTTTCCTTCAGGTTTATTGTGGTGGACAATAAGAAAAGGAGTCAGAAAACTCACAAATACTGGAAAGGAAGAAACGAATGCTTATTTGCTGACAACATGATTGCAAAAGAATCTGCTGAAAAATTAAGAGCTAATAAGAGACTTCAGGAGTGCTTAATAATGAACCTAAAATGAAGTGTGCATACAAGCTATAAAAAGGGTAGTAGAGGCCCTGGCTAGGTAGCTCAGTTGGTTAGAGCATCATCCCAATACTCCAGGGTTGCAGGTTCAATCCCTGGTCAGGGCACATACAGCAATCAACCAATGAGTGCATAAATAAGTGGAATAACAAACCAATGTTTCTCTCTCAAATCCATAAATTTTAAAAAATGTTACTAGAGGATATAAAAGACCTAAATAAAGAGAGGTATTACATGCTTATAGATGGAAGTTTTGGTAGTAAAGACAAAATATTTGTTTTCAGAATATTTGAGGAACTGTAAGTCAATGAGAAAAGAACAAATATAGAAAACGACACATTTTATAAAAATAAATTTATAAAAAACATCTAATAAAGAGAGAATATGCAAATTGACCATCACACTGTAACAGTCAAGATGGCTGCACCCACAGCGGAGACCGAGTTCCCGTAATGAGCCTTAACAAGCAATCAACAGGGACCTGAGGCTGCGTGGT